GGGGCGCTCTCCAAAGGAGACACGTCGTTGCCAACGGCTGTGTGCATGTGTGCGCGGGTACGTCTGTCTGTCTGTCTGTCTGTCTGTCTGTCTGTCTGTCTGTCCGCCTGTCTGTCTGTCTGCCTGCCTAACACCTGCCCTAAACCATAAACGGCTCGGGCAACCCTGAACGCTAAAGGGAGCGAGATATCAGTAAAAGAAACCCAGACCCCTAAAACGCAGAACCTTCAACCCCAAAATGAGTGAGATAACGTTATAACGAGACCCTGAACCCCAGAACGAGGAGGAAACCCAAAACCCAACAAGGAACGGAAACCAACAACGAACGATAAAACTGTTCAACAAGCCCAACTCTGAACCCAGGAGTGAGATAACCCTTAGAAGAAGCCCTGAACTCTGAAGGAAGTGAAGCCCTAAACCCCCAAAGGAGTGTGAACAACCTGACAGAGACCTTAAACGTTTGGGGAATAGGGAAACCCGAACCCTGAACCCTAATCCCTACACCCAGAACCCTGAGCCCAAAATCCTAACGAGAGCGAAACCCTCAAATACAACCCCAGACGCTAAAAGGAGAGGGACACGGGGAACCCGAAGAGGGGTGAAAGAACCCCGAAACCCTAAAAGTAGGAAGAGGCCGCAAACCCCAAAACGAAACTGAAATGAGCGCTAACCCTTCAAGGACAGAAGCCCGAAAGCAGGGAAAGCCAGAACCCTTAACGGAGTGAAGCCCGAAAAGGAAGCTGCGAGTCGTAAAATAAGATTTAAATCGGTGGGACAGCCGCAATCGGCCGCAGCCCCTAAAGTTCGGCAGAAACTCCACAGCTCCCTGAACCCCCAAAAAGAGGAGGAAACCCTACATCACCAGAGGAGCCCAAACCAGAAAAGCAATGAGTAAACTTTGAGGACACCCAAGCCTAAACTTTCTAAGAGGAGTGAGACAAACCTGAGGCAAACCCGAAAGCCTAAGTGGACGGGATCCCTAAACCCTCAAGGGAGACACGACAACTTCAAAGCAACCTCCTCAACTCTAACGGTTGGGAACAGCTGAACTCGAAAAGGAGACAACCTCGAACCGTCCGACCCACAATGAGCTCTCAATTTTTTCCGTGACGAAAATCGACCACGAACAGCTCCAAACTCGTCGCAGCAGCACTTACCTGAAATGATGTCATACGTTTGACGGCGGGGTGCCCCCGAAGCAGACGCGGGTTTGACCTCCCTTGCTTCGGTTGTGCCGTTAGGCCCACACGGCGGAGAAGGAGAAGCGCCTGGCGCAATTCCGACAGGAAGAGCTGCCGGACAGCCATGATGGACAGGACTGGACTGTTCCCTAGGGAGGTTAGGGTCGTGCAGAGAGGTGCCTCATTCTCAGTGCAATATTCCCAGGTGCATACGCTCTGTCCACAGACCCGCAGAGCAAAAAAAACAAGAAACGAACCACGAGAGGCGACAGTTCGTTGTCAGAGTTTCGCTTGCACATTGAACTTTAAATTGCCAACGTCTTTGCGTGGCTGGCCGGCCAGCAAGTATACAAGTCTCGTATGCTGGCTACAACAATATTTCAAGACACCTCTCGTGATTGATTATGCATGTGCTCCGCGGCTGATGTGAGATTCCGGCCACCTGAAAGCTCGTAGTGCCCAAGGGAGCCAGCTTGATTCTGACAGCAGTCCCCCCAAAAAATGGAGTCTCGAAGTGAATCCGTCAATTTGCTTGTATCCTTGGAGAGGATCTTGAGCGATGGCTCGCTGAAGAGGAGAGCAGGGTTGTCGAATGCGATGGGACGGACAGTGTGATGACAGATTCTAATTTCCTTCAAGGCGATGAAAGCTGAACACGGGGCTTCAGGGCAGCTTTGTGTTCTTCGTCTGAGTTTCAACTATTTCTTAATCTTGGAGCCCCGCAAGGAGTGTCGGATCTATTGCACCTGTAGCAAGATCATAATCGAGCCCTGCGCAACATCCTGCAGTGCTGCTGAAGGTCTCAAGTAAGGGTGTGCCCAGACATGTTGAAGTGAAGGTTGAGGCTACAGTAGGTCGTGCAGGCTCAGCTGTTGGCCAGAAGTGCTCGTGACGCTCCACCCGTTGCAGGACCTTGAATCCTGCACCGATGTCGGCTTCAGCATGGTGTGTTTCACCGACCGTGGCCCAGTGATCGCTAAGATTCCCAGACAGATAGCCCTGTGCCTCAATCTTCCGGTGTTTTCCGGCCTCAGGACATCCTGGACACTGACTGCATGGCCGACTCTAGTTCGGCCAGCAGCAGCCAGCAGTCCACCGGCCGCGACTCGGCAGCGTGATGCAGCGTGCGCATGGGAAATTCATCCATTCTGCGCAGTTGTGTTGTGTTGACTTGGTTTATTTTGCGTCTTGTGGCTCTCTTGCCCTAGGCATGCGACGGACTCCAGAGGAGCTCGAAGCCATGCAGCTGCCGGGATCTCATGCGATGGGGTTAGTAGCCGCTGTTGAATAATGGTTTTCAGAATTCCGTCCATCTCGAGGAGAGATGCCGCCCGGTGGACGGGAGCCCGGTCGTCTCCGACGCGGTTGCCAAACGCCGAGGAGGTGTAACCATCCGCAGTTTCCCTTATTCTACTATTTACATCTATCTACTATTTTCTGGGCTTTTCACCAGGAGAGACGGGAGAGGCACCGCAAGGCCGCGCTCCATCCGGACGCTGTGGTGCCTCGGCTCATCTTGCAGATGGTATCCTGGTAGCTTCCCATGCTGGTTGGGTGCGTGTGTGTCGCGTTTACATTTGCAGTTCGCAGTTTCGTTTGCCCTCGCATCCCCCAGACCCAGCTTGCCCATCGTACGCTTGCAGGAGGTTTTTGATCTTTGTTGCAGTTGCTGCCTGATGCTGGAGGCCAGAAGAGTCCAGCAAGTGCCGAAAGGCTTGTGCGACAGGGTTGGCGAAACCCCGGCGTGCCTGTAGTTATACTCTGAGTTAATTCGGCGGCCACGCTTCCGAACATCTCGCTCGAATGACGAGCAAGACATTCGTGCCAAACTTAGGGGTGATAAATGAGAAGCGAGAACTTGAGTAGTTCCTCTCAGACAAGTCCATCAAGAGCGGCGTGCGCCAAGCATGAAACTTCCGTACGACTGCCAGCCACAAGCTGCTGAAGGCCACAAGGTGCTGTGTTTAGAGTCGAGGCGTCTTTCAAGAGACGTGCACGTCCAGAACACGGATGTGTCAGTGCGCTTCGGGCCCGGAAGCTTGTACACCGCATGGTGCGGAACTTCATGGAATTACACCCTCGCGAGCGGGTCTGAAGTGCATTTGCGCTGCTGAAGTTTCACCAAGTAACTTGATGTTGCAATCATTTTTCCGAAGACAGTTTTCCGTGATGCGGCGAGGCCGCTCTAAATGGTTCTGCTGCTTGAGGGCAGGTCAATGATGTGAGTATGCCAGCACCCCATCTGCATGTGCGCAGACAGTGCGAAGACTGATTCTGACAGGAGATCGCCAGCATTCAGCGACACTTGGAGGCCGGAAAAAGCAGCGGCAAAGTGATGATGACGCTGTTGAGGTGATGATGATGTTGATGATGATGAGGATGATGACGACGATGGTTTCAGGAGAAGAGAGGAGGCTACGGATGAATACGTGATGGTACCGATGGCGATGGCGACTGTCATAGCTTTCCCGCAGACTAGGAGTGTCGCGATACTTGAGGTGATCAAGAAGCATGGGGTGACGACGATGCTGGAGGCGGTGGCGGTAGTGGTGGTGGTGGTGGTGGTACTTGTCGATTTCATCCCTTGCTGCTCGCTGTCGTCGTTTCCAGCCAAGGCCATGAATGCAGCAGCTGCAGATCTCAATGCGGCACAGGATTGCACCGAACTGTGACGAAATGCACTCTGTATCTGATTGATGTTCGTAGTTCCCTAGTTTATACGTGCAAGCTGTCAAATTCTGCTGTTAGGAATTAGCAGTAGCCTGCCACTGTCAAGTGTACCCGCGAGAACGCCATTGCAGATGCGAAGTGCGGTCACTGGAAGTTCTCCTAAGCTGCAGGAATCTCTCGCTGCATGTATGCGACGGCAGCGCACCATGGTCCAACTGTGGGCCGTGGTGAGTGCAGTTTGCTTAGATTCTGCCTTGAAGGCGCTACGATCTGATGGATTGCAGAGCTTTGTGATTTCCGGCCGACCTGGCAAGAACACATCGGTCCAGTGGCTCTTGTAAACGATGGCTGCTTTGACAAGAGGCGTCTTGCAAGCCTGGGTGCACAGATCAAAACTATAATCGCTGTGGGTGGAGCTGCGCTGAGGCTGCCTGGCGCGAGCAGTGGGCTCGAAGCAGCTGGCCAAGGTGAGTTGGGTTTTGCTGTGCGGTTCGTCGGGCTGGGATGAGCGCTCTTTCGAGAGACAGGTCCAGTGTGATGAGTCATGAGCCCCGAAAATCCCCGAAATACAGCAAACCGGAGACCGAAGAAGTGTGACTGGCCGTAGTGGCCGTAGTGAAGCTACTATGACAATGAGTGTGATGATATGATGTTCAAAACGTCGATGCGGTTTAGACTTGGCTTTGAAGGCTCGTGTATCTCAAGGATTGCGTCAGACATTCCATGCCTCTATAAAGGTCCCAAGCACCAACCTCCACGGCTCCGCACATAAAATGAGACACAGTTGGGATTTNNTTTAGTGATGCAGACATGCCATGGAGTTCTTTGTGCTCAGACATCCGCGGCATGAAACAGTTGGCAGGTAATATGGGCTCAGTCCGTGGCATCTGACTTACCAATCTTCAACAGAAACTTCAAGCTGCACTCCATGAGTTTGCTGTTGGGCTCGGCAGACAACATACTCAGCACATCCACGGCCTGAGCATGGAGCGAAGATATAGACTGGCCATCACCTTCATCAATGAGCAGTGGAGTGCCGGCCCCGGTAGAGACGTGTGCTTTGCAGGCATTATGTTATTATAGGCTTGTAGTCATACTTGTATCATGATAAACTCTAAGTATGATATCATATAGTTTAATAGTATTTGTTATAAGTTGGATATCATTATAGTTTGTCACTTCTCCGATTGCGATTGCTGCCACCGCCTCCAGAGGACTGTTGCTGCTCGTCCTCCTCCTCCTACTAGTGGCTACTAGCCGCGGCTGCAGTTGCTGTGCTTGCTACCACTGCACCTTAAACCGTAAACCCTAAACCCTAAACCCTAACACCCTGCAACAGACCCCTGCCAGAGCTGTGGCTTAGGTTGCGCCGCGCGCTGCGGGACGCACTCCGCAACACGAGGAGACCTCCTGGGGCTTTCAAGCGCAAGGAATACTGCGTTGGGGTTTAGGGCGACATGCACAACTAAAAGGCGCTGTTCGGCTGTTCCCTCGTTTGAAATCAAATCAAAACGTAGGTGTATGCTCAAACTCAAAGGAAGGAAGGAT